CTGTCTGTAGCCTGTTTTCTCACCTGTTAGTTGTACTATTCTTCATTAACCAGGGATTTTCTTTTCTTAGTGCTCTCTTTTTTTAAATTCAAAAAATTCGCATATGTAATTTCCAGGATGAAGCATACACCCAAGTATTTCAGACAAGAAGATAAGGGAGTTATCAGCAACACAAATTCTTAACATACAAATCCTCACTAAGCACCTGAAGCACCTCACATCAGAGCTAAACCATGATAGTTCAAGCATCATGAGGTTTAGGCAACACAACGAGTGCTCATCAAGTAAACAACAGCTGGTTTCAAGTAGATCTCTTATAGGAAAACCAACACAATGTCACGAACGAAACATATTGTTTGGTTTTGTTTGAGGTTTTGGTGTATAATACACGGTTTTGTCTTTCTGCCAGATCACGTACATACACATCGGCGGTTGGATATATAATTATATTTAACTGTCCTTACAATGTTGCCAAGTTAAAAATTTCCAGATAAAACAAGTGGAGGTATCAAGCAACCCTATATCTTTGACATTAGTTGACAGATCGACTAACGTCATACCGCGTTGGAAGCGTCATCTCAGTACAATTTTAACCATGGAACAGTACACACCAAAACAACGCGCTGAAATTATTCAGTTGTACATTCAAAATAACTTCTCAATCGTGAAAACTAAATGTGCGTTTCGTAAAAAAAAATAAAGTCAAAAGTGCTCCAGCTGATAACACTTTCAGATGTTGATACGCAAAATTTGTGAACACCGGTAGTCTTAGTAATGCCAGTCACCTATCCAGATAACGAACTAGACGTACCGATGAAAATATCGAAGCAGTACGAGCCAGTGTTGAAGAGACTCCAACATCCGGTCGTCATCGTTCTCAAGAGTTAGGCATCGCTCGAACCACTCTCCGAAGCATAATTCGTAAGGATTTGAAAGTGTTTCCATACAAAATTCAAATGGCGCATCAATTGAACCCAGCTGATTATCCGTGTCGCTTTGATTTTGCTAAGCAGAGCATTGAAATGGCCGAAAATGAAGATGTCTTGGCGAAAAATCATCATGTCCGACGATGCACATTTTTCGTTACATGGAGGCGTAAGTAAACATAATTGTCGGTTTTATGCTACCAAAAACCCTCAATTAATCGAACAGCAGCCTCTTTATGACCAAAAAGTTACTGTTTGGTGCGGTATGTGCGTGAATATGGTCATCGAGCCTTTTTTGTTGAAGACGATGATGGAGCTGCCGTAACCGTCAATGGTGGGCGTTATCGAGCCATGATAATGAATTTTTTGGGGCTAATTGTTTGTGAAAATGACATGGACGATTATTGGTTCCAGCAGGACGGCGCCACATGCCACATAGCTCAAGCAACAATCAAATTATTGCGACAATATATCGAAAAATGTCGATTTTGACTGGCCACCGAGATCACCTGATTTGACGCCACCAGACTTTTATTTGTGAGGCTATTTGAAATCCAAGGTATTCGCTAACAAGCCAAGGACTCTAGCTGCCCTCAGGAACAATATTCGTTAAGAAATTGCTGCCATATCCGTCGAAAAATTGGCCGACGTGATGGAAAACGCCGAGAAAAGGGCACATTTGGTTATCAATGCCAGAGGTGGCCATTTGCGCGATATCATTTTTGAAAAGTAATTACAAGTCTCTTTGGATCAAAATAATAGACTTTCCAAATGAACAACAATAAATATTTTTTAATGTATTTTTGTTTTATAAACAAATGCTCCCACTTTAAATGGCCCACCCTGTATAATACCAGAACATATCCGACATGACATCACGTCCCAAGATAAAAAATACTCTCACCTCAGAAGTTATTGTATTGGTGTTGTGTATATCACCACCAAATCGGTGCAAGATCAACAGATATACATCGCAGAGCTGGAGTTTGTTTATCCAATAATCAACTACCAGTCAGTGGGTGGCTTGTGGAGTAGTACAGTGTTACTTCTACATGGTCGGAAAAAAGGGTCAAAGGGTGCCTAGTTTTCACGCCTCGCCTCTCGACCACTACTACTACTACTAGTGCCAGAATCCAAGAATTGAGTAAGTACCAGAAAGGTAGCGAAGGCAACAAGGAGTAGGTGTGCTTGCAAGCAATAACACGTCATCAACTTGCCTAAAAGCGCTATGGACGTGTACGTATAATGAGAAGAGACGACGTGACAGAAACCGCTGCAGCGCGTGTCACAAGTATCATGACTTTTCTCCACACGTGGCCCAGTGTAATGCTGAGCGAATTGAAATAGATATCTTAGAAGGAATGTTTGTTTTCAAAAATAAGCGCGAAATTGAAGTCATCCAAAAAACATGTAAGTATCTGGGATGTAGGACTTTCAATAAGCTCAATGATGATATTCGAAATGAATCAAATATAGCTGTTTTCAAAAGAAAACTAAAACATTTTTTGCTAGACAACTGTTTATACACCTTGGAGGAGTTTTTTGTTTAGATTTGTGGTTTATACTTTTATAATTCGTCACCACTGCTTTTATGACCTTTTCATTCGTTATAGAATTTTCTGTTCTATTCAACAATGAAATAAATTATTATTATCCTGAGTTTTCACAGCTTAAGCTGGTAGTATCTGGGCCACCTCGAATGATGTTTATAGATGGTGGCTCTGGGTGGGAATGAAATTCATCATGACCCGCCCTCAATTTCCTATATCGATAAAAACTTTCTTGTAATCCGACAAGTGTCGAGGATCACTGCCTTCTGCAGTTGTATACATGTACCCTTTGGAAGGTTCAAGACTTTCAAATTCTCCGACAAAGCGTTCGTGGCCACCCCTTCCACTGATATGATGATGGGAATAATCATTGCTTCTTTCAACTTCTACATCCGTGCTAATTCTATTTTGAGGTCTTGATATTTGGAGCATTTCTCAGTTTCCACGGACTTAAGATTATGCGTAAGTGGAACCGCAATATCGATTATGATTCCCATTTGTTTCTGTTTGTCTATAAGAACTAAATCAGGTCGATTATGCTCTATGCGCCTATCAGTGGTTATTGGGCGGTCCCAATACATCAATAGGTTCTGATTTTCTAGAACGGACACAGGGTGATATTTGTAGTAGGGCACCTTTGCTTTTATTAGACCTTCTTTGTGCGCGATTAGCTGGTGTATTATTGCGGCTACTTTGTTGTGTCTGCCTAAGTATGCATCTTTGGCCAGGTTAGGGCATGCTCCTGTGACATGTTCGATTGTTTCGCCTACTGTATCGCACTTACGGCACTTATCAGTGATAGGGTTCTTCAATATATGCTTGTCATAATTTCGTGTGCGGATAACCTTATCCTGTATAGAACAGATAAACCCTTCAGTCTCTGGGTGTAAGAAACCACGCTGGAGAAACGAGAACGATGTTTTTTTGTCAATACCAACTTTCTCCATTTGAGACGGATACCTGCCATGCAATTGTTTGTTCTTCCAAGATTGCAACCTTTCTCTCGTTGCATTGCATCTGGATGGCTGTTGCAACTGTGACATATACAGAGGAGTTGCGTTGCAATCTGCCTCTTTGATTAGTTGTACTAGAGCGCTATTTTGGTTTAAGAAATACTCCCGAAGATGCATGATTTGTGTGTGGCACATCTGGGATACGTTGATTAGTCCTCTGCCGCCTTCATTGCGGGGCAGGTAGAGCCGCTCCACAGCAGAGTTAGGATGGAGCATACGAAACTTTGTCTTGGACCTCCTTGTTAGCCTGTCTAGTTCTTCCAGATCGGTGTTGCTCCATTTAACGACACCAAAAGAATAAATTAGGGCTGGGACTGCCCATGCATTAATGGCTGATATCATATTTTTGGAATTCAGCTTGGTGTTTAGCAGTTTTACAAGGCGTTTTCTACATTTTTCCGTTAAGTCCTTTTTGATTTCGCTGTGATTTAGTCCCAGTTGCTGTTTGAGCCCTGAGTATTTATACGAATCGCCTTCATCCAATTCCTCGATGTCATTTATTATCTCGCCCATATTAATGATGCGTCCTTTGCTGGCATTAACAGTTGCGCACTTTTCTAAACCGAATTCCATGCATATGCTGTTACTAAACAATTTAACGGTGGTAATCAACGAAGCTAGCTGCTGCTTTGATTCTGCGAGCAGTTTGATGTCATCCATGTAAAACATATGGTTAATTCTGACTGCACTATTCTTCTTAATTCTGTATTCCACGTTGCTGTTGTCGAGTAGCGTCGAGAGGGGGTTTAAGGCTAAACAAAACCAGGTTGGGCTCAATGAATCGCCTTGGAAGATCCCTCTGGATATGCTCAGTTTGCCTATCATCTTGCCGTTGATGCTAAGTTGTGTCTTCCATAAAGTCATAGAATGCGATAATAATGCTCTGATCGATGGATGGATCTTATATAGTTCCAGAACCTTGCGTAGCCAGTTATGAGGTACAGAATCAAATGCCTTCGTGAAATCGATATAGCATGCATGAAAGTTCCGGTGGTTAGTTCTCACATGGTGCGTAATCACAAAATCCATTATCAGTAGCTCCTTACATCCTCTAGATCCACGAGCACATCCTTTTTGTAGAGGTGATATTATATCATTAATTTCGCAATGATTGTAGATTTTGTCATTGAGTACAGCTGTCAGAAGCTTGTATATTACAGACAGGCAAGTAATTGGTCTGTAATTCCTTGGGCCTGTTGTACTTCCCACTTTGTGCAGCAAGTGGGTAATTCCTATACTTAAGAAATTGGGAAGCGATGAAGGGTCTAGAAGGATTCTCCGGAAGCATTTAGCTAGTGGCGCATGTGTGGCAGTGAGTGACTTAATCCAGTAGTTGTTAATCTCATCAGGGCCGGACGCCTTCCAGTTCTTTGCTTTCTTGAGTACATTCTTAATATCGGCTGTGTCTATTCTTGGCTCATCCATGTCTGGCACTGCAACGATCTGTTGCTCAATTTGACTAAGCCATGGTGCTTGGAGATCTGCTTCATTCTTATCGCCCCATATTTTACCCCAGTAGTCGATAGCATCTTGTTCTTTACACTGTGCCTGTGACAAATCATTATTAGATGTAGTTGGGCTTGTAAGATTACTGAAGAACTGTTTCTGGTTTTGTGAGAAACTGCGGTTCTGCTTTGCTCTGTTTGTGGCTTCGTTGTACCTTTTGAGCCTCGCGCCTTTAGCCTTGGCCTTTTGGCGGAGCTCATACATGATTTCTGTCAATTTCTGGATGTTTTCCCGGTCTTTTACTTCTATCCGATACTCTTGACATATGGCTTGCATTTTATAGTTAATTTTGGCTGATCTCGTGCCTTTAATATATTCCCTTAGCAGGTCGGATTTTGATCTCAGCTTATCTATGTCTAACCTCAGACGTCTACGCCATTCTGGCTCCTCTGGGGGACGTCTTATTGGGTGGTCCGAAAGTATCTCCCGTGACAATTTTTGGCCATTATCTTCTCGTACCGTAACAGCAGCTGCGTAGATAGCTAGGTGTATATTTGCGAGGTTGTCCTCATCTTCCAGGTAGGCTTTCAGTATGTGATTCATAGCTGTTATTAGTTGAGGCGTGCCTGGTTTCGATATAAGTTTTGGCAGTCTCGGTCTTTGATTTGGGTCAACTATTTCGAAGAATCTTGTGTTGCTAATAAATTTGTCGCAGTAGGTTGAGGTAGTTTCTTGTTCTTCAGTTTCTGTGGTAGCCACACTTGCTTCCTCCATCTGTATTTCCTCTTCTTCTCTCTTAGCAGAAATATGATTACCTACCTCCCTTCTGATCTCAGCTATTTCCGTAGGTGTTAGGTAACCTTTTCTCTTTATGACGTGTAGCCTATCAGCGACGTTTTGTTCGGTTCGTTTCAAATCAGGGTAAAGTTTATTAAACTCAGCATGCAGCAGTACCCTCCATCCGGGAGGAGGAGGATCCATACATCTCGTTACGTAATAAAAGGACCTCATTACGTCTTTATTCATCTGCGGTGTCCATTTAATACGTTTCAACTTTCCTCCCCTAGCAGCAGCATCTCCTCCATGAGTTGGAGCCTGCGAGCCACCAGGTAGAGTGTGACTATGTTCGTCAGTCACAACTACAGTCGGCCCCTCATCTGGATTTATCCGATTAGATCGATTTTTTTGAGGATTTCGCTGGATAACGACCTGGGTTACCTCAGAGGCTACAACCACGGTTGCAGCCTCACCCCTGCCGGGCGCGACACCACTAGCCATGAGGTCCGTGGTCCCGTGGTGCTTCCCCCTTTTTTTTTCAAACGGCCCCATATAAATGCCGGCATGCGCGCATTACGCATGATTTTTCTTGAAGTGCCATCGGAGGAAGGGAGACTAAACCTCCTGGCGCATGATGAAAGACCGCTGGCTGTACCGTCTCTCCTTGATGTTATTACGGTAGCAGGTTTGATACCGCTGGCACCAGTACCCTAACCGGCCAGACATATTTATTACTATTATTATTATTATTATTATTATTATTATTATTATTAATTATAACCAAGCTTATACGTTTACATTCCATTGTTTGTCGCCAAAATTGTGTACTTTTGGTGCATACTTTTATCCCATTTGCCGACCAATGCCTACCAAAGAGACAACGTTGTATAAACATAATAATGATAATACATACCGATGGAAACATCTACCCTCATTGGGGTTATGCCGCTGTTTGTAAAATTATGTAAAAGCACTTTAATTATCGGCAAACAATCGCACTTTAAAAAAATAACACCTAGGACCGCGAAAACCAACCGGCATAATTCAAACCTAGGTACGTTGATGAAAATATATCAAATTGGCGACTTCGGGAGTTCTGTGCTCGAATCATGACAATATACTATTTTAAATACTGAGGCTGCACACATTCATATATGAAGCAAATGTCATGGCAAATTTCCAATATTTCCAGCAACAAACTAAATTACCTTTGAATCCTCTCGGATTGTTCTCGCCACAGTGAATTTACTAATTTTGTGACAAAATATTTAGTTATGTCAGTGCACATTGATATTCACTCCAAATAAGGAATTAGAAGGAAAACGAACTCTTGACTAGCTCGTTTTACTTAGTCTGTATTTGTTGATATGGCCTGTCATTTGAATATGAGTTTCTTTTCCTTCCCCGTCAATGAACCTTCACTTGGGAACCGAGCGAGTAAACGGCCGCATGACACTATATGATACTTAACGGAAAATTTGTAGGGTGACTGACAACCTGACAAAATGTTAATATAAGCTTGCCTTGATCTTTTAGAAGCGACCCCACACAGGTACAAATGTAGGAGACCTAGTTAGTCATGAGCCAGTTACGGAAGAACGGTCCACATCAACGCAGAACTACGGCTCAGTTTTAAATTTGTTATAAATTTAATAATATATTTTCTTATTTAATCAACGCAAGTTGTCGTTAACGTACCATCGCACCCTTCCTGTACGTCAGCCTTCAAAGTGCATATTAAGTGCTTTAATCGAAACATCTCAGATATGAGGTCTTAGAATGTAATACGAATCTAATATCGAATTCGCGAAACGCAGGCAAATTTAAACTTCTTACGCGTAATCTATTCTCCTCCATTGTCGACTCTATACATATGGTATCGACTAAGTCAGTACAATGCGTCAGTGTTTTGAACTGTCGATTCGCCTGAATTTACCTCAGGGTATTAGCGAGTGTATGCATTGTACTGGGGAGCATAGTGTACCTATCAAGAGCTCAAAACACTTTAGCGAGCATTAAATAAGAGCATTTGAAACTAAGTTAGTATGTTACTAAAAATACATGAAGCTACTGAGTTCAGTACACACGGATGTAATAGTGCTGTGTAGCCTCACAACTAAAAATATTATCTAATGGAACTCCGAAGGTCAACAAGTTCATGCATTTTGGGAAACATGTTAATTTATTATTTAAAAGCCAATTTATTGTTCAAGCCCGCCAAGACGAAAATGACACATACCCGGAGAACTTTAAGTGGGCGTGATTCTTTTACTGTTTGGGGGTCTGTATTCCAGGTTTTTAAAAGTCATTTCCCCAGAAACATTCTGATACTGATATTTCATTGGCGTCCATCAGTCTCATCCTTATAGATGTAGTAAGCTTTATGGACAAACATTTAGTGATATGGAGAAACCAGGGAGATATTATTGTTTCAAAAGTTTATACATTCACACTTTTTTATAAACGTCAACAGCTCTCAGAATAGAATGCCCCCTGCAAGAAATTCTGCCAGTATGGTCCTGTATCCATTATGAAAAGGTACGACGTGCTTAAGTACCAGAATCAGGCGCTTGGCTGTGTGTAGGTTAATCTGGCTGTTCGTTCGCAACTCGGATTTCATCTCCGCTTACGGTGAGTGTATACTACCGACTACAGTACTTCAGATCGGTTTCTTGGATGTTTTGATCTCGAATTGCATAGGGTTGTTTTTATCGTACAAATGCCGGTGTTAGGAGCGTCGAGGTAGACACAAAGAAAACCTAGCCTTCCCCGGAAATTGCAAATTAAGTATATATGTTACCGGACAAACCCGATTTTAGGATAAACTAGTTTTTCCTAGGCCAAACCAGTCTATCCGAAGAGCGATAGGATGAACTAGTTCATCCTAGCCTAAACTGGTTTTTCCTGAAATGAGTTAATTATGATTAGGGAAAACTGATTTGTCCTAGTCTAAACAACTTCGACCCGCGATTTAACCAGTCTGAACTGGTCTGAACCTTGGTTTGGCTCGCCGGCGCCGATCGCAAGGATTAGTTTGCACGCGTACGTTGACTGTTATGGAGCGTTCGTCTTATTGCAAAATCGTTGCGTATTGTGCGTGTTGTCCATAAGCTAAACATTCTGAAACATTTCGTGATTGTTTATGTATCTAAAGTTCTCAGAGTATTTCTGTATCTCATTAACATGGATGAGGCTTCATCAAGTGGGCACGTAGGTCAAAAAGAGTGGAGGCAGAGATTCTTGGTAGAGGTTTTAAGATCTGAGGACTAAAAATCAATTCATTTTAATGTTTTGACAAAGGAAAAGTATTTGGCACTTATCCAACAAGTGGAAGAGGCTAAAAAAACGGAGAATAAATCACCCTTGCAACAAAGAAGACTGAAAAGATTTGATGTGGTGGAAATCAGAGGTGTAAAGAAATTTACCGCACGAAATGAAGGAAATACAAATAATATTATAAGTATTATCTCACCGCTGATGAGTTATATGACGTTATTGATGCAGATCACATAGCAGTGGGACATGGTGGTCGTGACAGAATGTTGGCTGAAACTTCTAAAAAGTTTGCGAATATCACAAAAGAAATGATATGTCTTTTTTATCTATGTGAATGGTCTGTCAACAAAAAAAGACGAAAAAAAAGAAAGGATTAGTCTCCAAACCGATTTTGCACACCGAAATGAATAGCCGATGCCAAGTCGATCTTATTGACTTCCGGACACAACCAGATGGAAAGCTTAAATTTATATTGGTGTATCAGGACCACCTAAAAAAATTTGTCCTGCTTCGTCCATTGGAAAGTAAGAGAGCAGAAGAGGTAGCCTACCATTTAAATGATATATTTTTAACTTTCGGGGCCCATGCATTCTACAATCTGACAATGGCCGAGAATTTGTGAATCGTGTAATTTTAGAAGTGACAAGCTTATGGCCAGAGTTCAAAATCGTGCATGGAAAACCACGACATAGTCAAAGTCAGGGATCAGTCGAAAGAGCAAATCAAGGTATTGAAAACATGCTGAATGCTTGGATGAATGACAGCGAGACAACTAAATGGTCAGAAGGACTAAGGTACATACAGTTTATGAAAAATCGGGCATTTCATTCTGGAATTAAACAATCGCCTTATAAGGCCATGTTTGGTGCGGAACCCAAGGTTGGCCTCTCTACTAGTTCATTACCTTCGGAGCTGCTAAAGGACATTGAAGACGAAGACGATCTTCAAAAACTGATTGATGGGAAAAACATAGATGGACATGAAAATGAAGGCAGTTATGGATACGAAGATACGGATGGAGACGAAGATAAGAATGGAGACGAAGATAGGAATGGAGACGATGACATGGATGAAACCTCACAAAATATTTTAGAAGCACGATCAAAGGCTGCGCAGAGCCTTGAAAAACAAGCCAAAAAGATGAAAGAAGCCTCTCACAAGGTGCATCCACCAGCGAAAGTTGAAGATAACATCATCATACCTACTCCTGATGTAGACAGGGCTAAAGGAGATCTTCGAAACGTTATTGGAGTTGTGCTTGAAGCATCTGATGACGGATTTTATAAGATTGCGACCAAGCATGGTATCTTACAAAAATTATATTGCAGGTAATTATTCATTTTGCTACGGTTTTTATTTGATTTAAATTGAATATTTTCATTTCAGAAATGAATTTGATATCTGCACACAAAAGTTTTTATTGGAAGAAGAAGTAAACAAGGACAATGAAATTTCGTTAAGAACCGCAGCGATAAAACATTCAGTTGGAACAGGCCAAGGTTTCTTTAAGTGTAGTTGCACCAAGAAGTGTATGTCGAATCGATGTCTTTGCAAGAAAAATAACGTTCTCTGCAACTCGATATGCCATAATAGTTTGACATGTAATAACAAGTAAATAATAAAAATTACTAAACATGTTTGTAATATTGTTAATTTTGTCAAAAGACTGTATGTAGGCTAGGACAAATCTGTTTTTCCTAATCATAATTAACTTATTTCAGGAAAAACCAGTTTAGGCTATGATAAACTAGTTCATCCTATCGCTCTTCGGATAAACTGGTTTGACCTAGGAAAAACTAGTTTATCCTAAAATCGGGTTTGTCCGGTAACATATATAAGCTTATGAGCACCAGAAATTATTTACGAGCAAGATGCAATAGTGCGGTATTCGAAATTTTTTGTCAAATGCATGTGAGTACATTATCTCAATTTTACTTACCACGTCAGTTGGTGAGGAACTATTGTAATCGCGAAAAGCTTTCAATACGAGACATTATTTCTTCTGTATGTTCTCTGACATGTACCATGTCACTCATTCTCGTTGGTTTATCTGTTTATCGGTCTGTTTGTATGTCGGCTGATCGTCTGTGGCTTTGATAAAATGTTACTGTTACACCAAGAACTGAAAAGCTTTGTAAAAAACGGCAACAAACCTCATCATTGACGTTTGAGAGGGTCCTGGTCAATTTTTGTATTGTATCTGGAAGAGATGAAACTTGGTGATTGGGGTTGTAGAGGGTAGGGGCGCAAACCTTGTGGTTTCGGTATCGCTGGAG